AACCCTACAAGACTTGCAGAAGATATCGACTAGCGTACGACGGTCGAAGTATTCTAACATTTTATACATGATTTAGTAAGTTTCTACGCATTAAATTGTTACTAGTAGTCCCACGGTAGTCGAAATTCGACTATAATTAATTGAAATTATAAGTTTGTACACTATTATGATTCCATTTTCAAAGACTATTATACTTCTATAATCACAAATTGCGCCAAGACTACAACACTATAGGAAAATATTAATAATGACAAACAATATTTAATCTATTCTCAATTTGACCACAGACGTCAAGAACAAAAGTTTGACAATACATAAATAGTATGCATTGTGTGTATCAAATACATGGTAGTGTGTGTAATGATTTTTAGTATTGACTTAATGTATTTTTTAGGCATAATATAAAAAAATTTTAACATTCGGCACTTGTTCTATATAATTATTCTCTATAAGTGTGGGAAATTTCATACTCCTCTGTCCGCGCAATTTTCGCAAAAAGGGATACAAAGTTTTCCCTTCACGTATTAATATATAGATAACTCATGTCAAGGACCCCATGTAAGGAGGGATAAGGGTAAGCAGAAGTAAATTGTTACGCACTACCTCAGTGAATCGTGATTCCGATCCGGTGGTAGATTCAGCGAAGCACTGCTCTTGCTAGGGCTTGTGTTAGCAATTTCGCTCAGGTTGAGCCCGTGAGACCTTCCAGACGAAAAGTAGTTGGAATAGCCCCTTAGCCAAACTATTAGGTAGGGTAAAGAAATTACGCATAGAGCTTATATTGACCTATAAACATTTGTCCCAAAGCAAACATACTCCATTGGATCAAGCACTAATAAGCTCCTTCTTCGAATGTAGCTTAGGAATTTTGTAGGCAGCGGCATGGCTCTGGCCCTGGCATGGCTGAAGTCCATGGGCGACGATAACCACTCAATTATAGTCAATAGTCAAAAAACATTAGTCACAGCTCACTATCAGACAAGCAGTATCTCTGCCTCTGCCTTCAGCGCAATACAAAACTGATACCAGCTTCAAGGACTCATCTTTTTCTTTCCTACCTATGCTAATAGCCTTGAGAGGCTATTTCAGCTTCACCCTAACGTGTAGGTGAGCTCACGGGGCTCAAACCGGAGTGTTGCTAAAATTGGCCCCAGCAAGAGCAGTGCTTCGCAGAATCTACCCACTGAGATGATCCGGCGTGAAACTCAGTGGGCAGGACACATCAGAAACTCTTCCAGAAAGTAACTGATAAAATCACAGGCCTCAAACTGTTTAAATAAAAATATAAATGAACGTAAACCAGAAACCACAACGGCCTTGTTCATAAACATTGCTTATAACGACCTTATTAACTAATGTATATTTATAAGTTCAATGTTTTGTCTTTTTCGCTCACGGGCAGCTTTGTACGCGATCGAACGAGACAAAGCACGGTCAGAGCTTAGGGATACACACTGTATTTTATAATAAAAACTTCCCGTTATCTATCGTTGTTTATAAGAATTTATTTTAGTGTTGACCGAATAGCGCCTATTTTATACAGTACTGGGCATTTAAAATTAACATTATTATTTATTGTCATTATTATTATAGAGTCCAACACTCATATAAATATTAGCCTATCCGTTAAGTACATGTATTTTCTACATGGATACCAAGTTTCAAGTCAATCGGATGCATGGTTCAGTAGTTATAACGGAACATCCGTAAAAACCACTGTAGATTTATATATTAGTATAGACTAGAGTCCCGCAGTAGTCGAAATTCGACTATAATTAATTGGAATTGTAAGTTTGTACACTATTATTATGATTGTATTTTATACTTCTATAATCACAAATTTCGCCAAGACTACACTATAAAAAATATTAACAAAGACAAACAATATTTAGTCTCAATTTGACAACAGACATCAAGAACAAAAGTTTGACAATGAATAGTATGCAATATGCATGCGTGTGTGCGTTAAATACATGGTCTGTAGTGTGTGTAATGTTTTATTTATTGATTTAATGTATCTTTTATGAATTATTTTAAAATATTAGCATTGTGCACTTCTTCTCTATATTCTCTATAAGTGTGGAAAATTTCATACTCCTCCGTCCGCGCAATTTTCGTAAAAAGGGATACAAAGTTTTTGCTTCACGTATTAATATATAGATAGTATTAAAGGGACGTATATATTTAAGATCGGCTGTGGTTTTTAGAACTAGAGTTAAGTATACGCGCTGACGGGTTTGGCAGGGCTTGGATTTGCTTTTTCCTGTACTTTATCGCTAGCCTAATGGACTATTCCAAATACTCACGAATAGGTGAGCTCACGGGCTCAAACTGAGAGAGTTGCTAACACTAGCCCTAGCTAGAGCAGTGCTTCTCAGAATCTAACACCAAAATCGCGACCCACTGAGAAAATCCGGCGAGAAACTCAGTGGGTTTGAATCAACGGTTGCTTGAGTTTCAATAAACTAAAATAATTAGCCATTTGGTGTTTAAAACAACTTCACTTATCTGCACGTTGTAATAATCTGTCTCCTCGACTGCTCCTCTATCGGTTTAAGTATCCGTTTTCCTTCTGAATTATTAAACTAATCATAAAATCGTGTAACAAAAAATTGCGATAATTAATATGAACAACTAGCTGACCCGGCAGACTTCGTAGTGCCTCAATTGATAAATAAAAGACCTAAGCTTTTGTATAAAATAAACTTAAAACAAACAAAAGGAATCCGTCCGACGGGGGACACATCAAAGGGAAGACAAAATTGTTATTTTTATTTAATTCCGAGCATTTTCGTATTTATCTACCTTTTAAACCTTCTCTGGACTACCACAAATAATTCAAGACCAAAATTAGCCAAATCGGTCCAGCCTTTCTCGAGTTTTAGCGAGACTAACGAACAGCAATTCATTTATATATATATAGATAGAATAGATAGATTACGGTAATACATAATTTGCTTCGCGCTGTCAGATTATACAGTATTTACTTTAATACGGTGTTAAAATTGTTAAGATCAAACTGTCACTTAAATATAATAGACACGATAGTTTAGTTAAATGAAAAAAAAACCAAACCTAACTTAATTACAAAAAAAACGCTTAACAGTAATTCATTCGAACTGTGTATAATATTGCTCGAACTGTGTATAAATCGTACACAGTGTAGTTTATGTTGTGTATAAGCGGTGTTAGGTTTCGCGCGATCCGGCCTATAATTTTGCCTGGGTTTAACGCATTGCTTCGAAAACACAGCTTAGATAAGGTCGAATTATACCGCTCCGAAAATTATTTATAGCCATATTTGTGTATTATTTTGTGTAAGTTATAACGTTTTTGTTCGCTAAACACACTAAACAAGTTTAAGGAAACTTAAATTTATTTTTCTTCTTGCTTTAGTATCGCGCGCGTCGTGCCTTATTGCCTTAATTCATTATTGTAATTTAGATTTGACTTCTTGGAACCGATCATATATTTTACGTAAAATACGATCAAATATCGATATAGTAAAATCAAGCAGGCTTAAAAAGCTTTTTTATATTTCAAAATTAATAAAATATAGTTTTTTGATTGGGCCTTAAATTTGTTCCTCTAGATGAGTGGATGAGCTGATAGCGCATCTGGCATATATCAGCGCCCTTAAATAAATATAGTCTGATAAATAATAGCATTGTATAAGCATTGTGAAGGATAACATCGTGTAATAAAAATCAAACCTGCAACATTATAATTTGCATAATTACTGGTGGTAGGACGTCTTATGAGTCCGCACGGGTGGGTACCACCACCCCGCCTATTTCTGCCGTGAAGCAGTAATGCGTTTCGGTTTGAAGGGTGAGGCAGTCGTTGTAACTATACTGAGACCTTAGAACTTATATCCCAATCATCACCTATAACATCAAAACTTAGTGAACTTGAAGTAAAATTATCCAGGACGGCTGGTCGACCCAAAAGTAAAGCTAGTACAAGCTCACTTTAATACCATTCTAAATAATGAATTAATTTTTATAGATAACATTTAATAAAACATAGTACGCTCTCTGTCTAATTCGATATTTAAATATTACAACAAGACTAATAGTTGATCGGTTTTCATTGTCCAGGACAAAAACTAGCCCTTTATCGATACCTTCCAGTCTAAAGTCATAGAGACAGTAGATCCATGACGCTTTGAAAGTAATAAAATGGTGCTTTAATGTTTTGCGCCAAGAAGTGATCGTGGTGATTTCTTTAAGCAATCACATACGATATATTACTATGTTTGTTAAGTATTGAAATCGGGTAGAGAGAGTGCAATGCCTGATTCTAATGATTACTAAGATAGGCATTATAACTCCAAAGTAAACGAGATTTCAACCTATGTTAAGGCGATTTTTTATGAACACCGCTCACTGCTAACCACCATGAACTCATGCTCCATAAACTAACTTTTTTACTGGTGATAGGACCTCTTGTGAGTCCGCGCGGGTAGGTACCACCACCTCGCCTATTTCTGCCGTGAAGCAGTAATGCGTTTCGGTTTGAAGGGTGGGGCAGCCGTTGTAACTATACTTGAGACCTTAGAACTTATATCTCAAGGTGGGTGGCGCATTTACGTCGTAAATGTCTATGGGCTCCAGTGACTTAACACCAGGTGGGCTGTGAGCTCGTCCACCCATGTAAGCAATAAAAAAAAGCAACACTTAGAAAGCTATGAAACGGTGCTTCTCATAACTTGTTTTTATTCGCGGCAAGAAGTGATCGTGGTGATTTTTTTAAACAATCACATACGATAAACTACTGTTTGTTAAATATTGAAATCAGGTAGAGAGAGTGCAATGCCTGATTCTAAAGATTATTAAGATAGGCATTATTACTTCAATGTAATCGAGATTTCAATCTAGTCTATATCTAGGCGGTTTTATTACGAGCACCGCTTACCGCCGACCACCATGAACTCATCTTCCGTAAACAAAAAAAAAGTATCAAAATCACAAAAGTATCAAATTAATTTTCCTCCGCAGATATTCATGCACAAAAGCGCCATGCAGATGCACGCCCGGGAGCTCCAGCGGGGTCTGGGGGGCGAGGTGAAGCCCCACCAGTGCCAGCAGTGCCTCAAGTCGTTCAGCTCGAACCACCAGCTGGTCCAGCACATCAGGGTCCACACGGGCGAGAAGCCGTACAAGTGCTCCTACTGCGACAGGAGATTCAAGCAGCTGAGTCACGTCCAGCAGCACACGAGGCTTCATACAGGTCAGCTGAGTGAACAGTCAAGTTTTGCTTATCAATTCGAAGAGTGCATTCAAAAATTAATTTAATGTATAAACGAATAAGGCATAAATTAGAATGAACATCGAAAAAAAAATTTAAAAAAATCGATTATTTGAAGTTAATCGCGCGTAATTCTGTCATACAAAAATGTTTTTTTTTTTTTTTTAAATATTTACTAACAATCACGCCACGTTAGCTGGTCCCGTGCTAAGTTCGTAAAGAACTTGTGTTACAGGTACCAGATAACGGAAATAAATGTAAGATTTTTATTATACACATACATATATTTAATATACTTACACCCATAACCCTGGAAACACATTTATATTTATCATACAAATATCTTCCCTTGGCGGGATTCGAACCCGCGACCCCCTTGTGTAGTGACCATGTCACTTACCACTACACCAGACGGCTGTATTATCGTCTTCTCGCATTAAAACTGTAGGTGTATGTAATCTCAAAACTAACAAATTTTACACAAGAGTGTTTTAAAGGTTTTTTTAATATTATGTAATATTTATAGGTAATAGTAATGTTAATTGCAAAATTTTTATTTTTATTTTTTACCAGTTACATTATCCGTCTTTTAAAGTAAGATAAAATTATGTATTGATAAGGTAAGCTAAAAAAAAAAAAACTAAATTACGTCTTTTGACTGTATTGATGAGAAAAATACGGGTGATGTCGAATGTTTACGCGTATTTACTCAATTTCGAACATTTTTGGAAATTGTACACTTTTAATTCGAAAAGGCGTTATGGCAGATACATTTATCCTATAAAGAATGGTCACATAATGAACATAAATCTTGATTATCGATAATTATTCGAGAAAACATCGATTTCTTTTAATCTCTTGGCGCTTGCGTTTATGGCACTATCATAGAAACCTTCCCAAACAGCTGTACAAAACAATACTACGGGTTAAGCGATCCTGTAATACAAAGAAGACAACCAAATATTTGAATTCAGAACGTGTCTTCGACAATCGTATTCGGAATTCGACCGTAATCTTTGACACCTAAAGACTTAAATTCCTTTGATATGTTACATTTAAATTTTGAAACTTTAAAAATAGAATTACATTTTAATAGTAAGTCGAAATTTATTTATTTACTTTTTCATCGGTGTAAAGACCCGGCAAAGCAAAGAACACAAAAAAATGTTTAATTACGAAACTTGTCTTCGACAATCGTATTCGTAATTCGACCATAATCATTGAGATCATAAGACTAAAATTCCTTTGATACATATTTAAGTTATGACATTTAAAAATTTCTTTTATTGAAACTTTAAAAGTAGAATCACTTAAATTTTAATAGCAAGTCGAAATTTAAATAATGTTTTTTTTTTCATTCTGTTGAGTTTGGTCAGATTATGTGGCCAAAAAATTATATTATGTTTATATCAAATTCTTCTTGTGCGTATGTTGTATTCAAGTTAATCGGAAGTTTGGAAATCGGTGAAAATTACGTTGATAAGTGATATGATTAATAAATAGAGATAAAATTAATTGAAGCTAGTTAAACAAAACACAGACCGCTTCGAAAAATTAACATCACCTATTTAAATTATATTTATGTAGTTACGTATCAGTGTAGATACTTATAACTCCACTAAAATTTCGAAAATCCACTTCGGAAGTATTTTTTTAGAGGTACCGATCAGCTGATTAAGAAATTCCGTTTTGTTGCCGGTTACGGGTTATCATCAAATTCTCAAAAAGCCCGCTAATTTTAAACAGTACCCACCAATACAGGTATAACTGAATCTAAAAAACGCGAAGTCGAATTAAAAGCATTCTAGAAACATCGATTACAACGCGTTCGGAACACGCGGAACGCGGGAACCAGACATTCCAAATTTAAACGGCGTCCGTCTCCATCGAATGATATTCGAGTCTTAAGTCTTAACGTTTATGATTCCGACCGTTAAGTGGAACGCTTGTATTCATTCGAAATAAGAATCAGAACTTACTGTATCAAACGGAACTATTAAATGAAGGATTTACTCAAATATATTATCGATAATTTTGTGCCAATTTATATTTCAATGTCGTCACGTATTCTAAATTTGAAAAGGGGACGTTAAAGCAACTTTAAAGTTTTCTTCTTCTGTAGTATCCGCTTATCATCAAGCGAGTTTTCCGCTTATTGACTAAGAAGTTTTTAATAAACAAATTTAAGAAAAAAATAAAAGAAAAGAAAAGATTATTATTAATAATTTAGTTTTTACAACAATTCCAAAAATAAATCGTTTTCAACTACTATATTGCTTACGTCACAAAACCGATTTATTTAGACTCGATTACGTTAGAAGTCATACAATACACACATCGCGTAACTAACGCCGAATCAATACATACATCGCCTTCTAAGAAATCGAGCGAGTGGAACGCTAAAATCTAGTCAAACGACTTTTACAATTAGAACGTCGCACGACACTATTGGTCGGAGTTTTCACGTGAAAAAATACGACACGCCGTATACGTGAAAAGAGTAGGAAAAAAAACCGGCCAATGGCCACGGGCGGTTCGCGCGGCAGCCAATCACGGGCCTCGCATAGCGAAACGTAAACGTACGGCAAGAAAAAAATTGAACAGAAAAAAAAAAAACGAGAGTCGTTCACGTGTTTTTCCACGTTTCGTCTAGCCAATGGGAGGCGCTGACGTACGCGCGCACATTCGTTCGCTTTCTGAATTTTGTGGGAACTTCTTCTGTCCGCATTCGAAAAATTTTAAATTAGTTTTTGGTTAGTTCGGTTCTAGTCAATTAATTTCGACGAGGATTCTTTTTTGTGTTCGAAATTTGAATAAACTTGCGCGATATTTTAGTTTCGATTTTCGAGTTGTATCTCATGCAAACTTTTTTTTTCATAGCACTATATATTTTTTTAAAGGATATTATGACTTGGTAACTGAGACCATGGTAAGGTCATGTCTTATTATAATTTATATTCGTATTTTTATGCAAAATGAAAATATGGAGTGAAATGAAATGAAGATGATTAATTTGAGACATTAATCAACTGGGATGAAATATAATCTCGGTAAAATGGTGGTCATTTACTGAGATTTTTTTGGAAGATCCCGAGAAGCTACTTCCAGCGGCTTTATTTCATTTTCCCACATTTGTGCACTTTCACAGATACTAAACAGTTAATAAACCACCGTTATTACACATTTAAGCCTGAAGAAACACTAAATAGACAAAATAAAACAAATCACACAACTTCACTCCTCCGCGTTCCCGCCAAATAGTCTCATAGCATTATCTATAGAAAACAAAGCTCAGATTATGCAAACTTCAATTAATACCTTTAATGTTGCCATCGACTTTAATTAAAGACCTGCCCATAAATGCAGGTTTAAATAAAAATTGTCGTATTTCCCTCGCAGGCGATGATGTCTGGTTGTCATTATGTACGTAATGATTTTTTAATTATCGTCAATTACAGAGACACAATACACGCGACACGTATTTGTTCCAATTAACATTTAAGGAAAATAATTTAGTTCTAAAACATTTTTTTTTGTTTACGATATCGCTTATTGCTACAGATCGGTAGACGGCTCACCCGATGTTAAGTCATTATCGGAGAAATGTGGTCGAACTCTTAATTGTATTATGTAACAGTTTTGAACCAAAACACGATTGCAGAATTTAGTATAGTATAGTGCGCACTTAAGTGCTTTGAAGCATTCCCTGCGACTATTGATGGTCAAATATCAACGTAAAACTTAATAATGCTCTCTTTTTTTTTTCAATATGGCAATCGGCTTTATTGTTGTCAGTGTCAACTAAAAAAAACACTCGATCATTATGCAGATATACTTAAAACAACATCGCTCATCGCGTTCCCGCTAAAAACACAAAACTTGTTTTTAATAAAACGAAACCATTCTAAATTTAAAAATGTTAAATTCGTGGAAAGTTTTGCCGATTTTCCCGCTTAGTTTTGCACTTTTGTGCGTAGCCAATATTTTTCTCGTGAAATCTTTGATGACTCGTTCATAACAGGACGCGGCTTGAGACAATCTTATTGAAGGAGTTTTTGTAGGAAAAAATGTTTCATAACATTTTATGCAATGACTACAATACTACTAATCGTAGTACTATAAATCAAGATACGTGATTACCTAATTTAATACAATTTTTATTTTTATTAAAATTCTTCTTCTTCTTCTCAATCGTGTCACTCTTGACAGAGTGGTCGTGACCGTCATATAGTGTTGGAAGGGGCAGACTTGATGCGTCTCACGATGTCGCGCCATCTCACCCTGCTCGAGGCCATTCTACTGCACTCATTTAGGGAATTTATCGTCATGGAAGAAAACATTATTATTAAAATAGATCATGAAAGTTTGCTTTTGCTCCAAAGAGATTGTAACTATCCGAATTAATTACGTAAGCGTAAAAAGGAAACTCCAAATTTAAAATTCGAAATAAAAATCGAATTCCGTCAAGCGAATGTCAGTCGGCAAACAAATACAGGAAAGATAAAAGATGGCGTAGGTATTCTTTTTTGTTTATTATTCGAACAGGTCGATTGATTCGTCGGCCGCGGTCCGCGGGACGCTACGACGAACTTCGCGTACACACAGAAGTTTTTGTTTATCCGTAAGAAAACTGATGGAAAAACGTTCGACGTTCGAAATTTATTCTTTTGTATTTTCGTTTTGAAATTTTGAATTGTTCCAGAATTGTTTGTTTTGTTAATAGGTATGTTGGTACGTGAATTGAGGATTACAATTTGTTATTTTTAGAAATATATATTTTTGTAAGTTTGTTTGTTATGTTTTGTTACGTACTTTGTTACGTTTTGAATGTTAATATGCCATTAAAGACATAGAAAAATAACAAAATTTAAATGTTTACTCCATAATTATCGTTAACTTATGACTGTCATCAGTAAAAGTTGGAGTGTAATTTTCGTGACACACATAAATAACACACATACATTGCCTTAATCTCGAACATT